ATTTTGAATCAGTTCTCGAATCAGTTGTCATAATATCCATTGCACATCCTGTGTTTTCTGGGTTTGTATCAACCAATTTCAGTTCTGTTTCAATCATGACTAGGTCGGGCAAGTGTCAGGTTCCTGAGAATTATGGATTTGCTTCCTCTGCTACTGATTTTTATTTGAACCCTAATTGCAAAGTCATTCATTGCCTTTTTCGAGGATTTGTTAATGGCAGGGGGCTTAAGTTTTCATCGTTTACCAGGCACCTGGAAGATTTTCACTTTGCGCATGGGGCTAGGCATGATGTCTGCAGACAGAGATTGAGCAGTGACTCTGTGGTTTGGGCTGCCTGGGAAGCAGTTTTACAACAAATGAAATGGTGGTTATGCACTCAATATATGAAACTTCATTCATGGAGTAAAGATTGTAACAGGTATGAATTTGTAGAAGCACCTTTTAAGTTGTGGGTTTTGGATTTCCTTATTCATGGTGTTGCCAAACCTTCTTGCACAAAATATGTTGTTGAATCTAATGAGCTTGGTTCTGGTAATTCCTTACAACTTAATGAGGATTTTCTTGACACTATTTTCTGTACTCAAACTCACACAGCAAGGCACATTCCCCCACAATGTACACTTGCTTTTTCCAGAGCCTTTCAATATGCTATGGACAGAGTAGTGCTTAGTCCTATGGATATTACTGGTTGGGTTAGGCTTCTTCTCTTTCCAGTTTGTATTCTTAGGGTTTATTCTCCTAAAACTAGTGCTGAATAGAGGTCTGGTAATAGGAGGAAGTTACAAATTAGAGCTATTCATTAGGCTTTGCATAAATGGGGTACATGAGATGGTTGTCTTACTCTTATACAGGAATTGCTTGAGGATTATAAACTTCATTCTAAGCCAACTGTTAAGAACCAGACCAATGTTAATATTCAACTTTGTAAAAGAAAGTTGGCCACTGGGGCCTATACTGCTGCAATCAGAATCTTAACTTCTAATGGTGTTGCTCCTGCAAATGATGCAACCCTAACTACCCTCCAGTCCAAACATCCTTCTGCCCCTTTACCTGCCTTTTCTACTGTGCTTAATGATATGCAACCCCTCATTGCAGACTCTGATACTGTGTTTATTAGGTTATGCAGATTCTCTAAAGGAACTAGTTGTGGGAGAGATGGGCTTCATGCCCAACATATGATTGATGCTCTTACAGGCCCAGCTGCAGCTATTGCTGATGATGCCCTCAATTCGATTACTGCCATTGTTAACCTTTTGTTATCAGGTAACTGCCCCTCTCAGCTTGGTAAATACATTGCTAGTGCACCACTTACACCTTTACTCAAGCCTGATGGTGGTGTTAGACCTATTGCTGTTGGTACCATATGGAGGAGATTGGTATCTAAGGTGGCTGCTTCTATGGTAAGTAAAGATATGGCTTCCTATTTGAGTAACTTCCAGTTTGGTGTTGGTGTTAAATGTGGTGGAGAAGCTATTTTACATGCTGTCAATCGGATTATACATGACTTGGGTGATGATAACTCTAAATCTATGTTACTAATAGATTTTCAAAATGCCTTTAACATGGTTGACAGATCCTCCATGCTCCAAGAAGTCCTCCTTCTATGCCCTAGCATATATCATTTGGTAAGATTTTGTTATTCTTCTCCTGCCAGATTATATTATCACACATACATTTGCTTCTTCTCAAGGGGTGCACCAGGGGAATCCCCTTGGGCCTCTTATGTTTGCTCTTAGACTACACCCAGTTGTATTAAAAGTCTCTCAGGCTTGTCAACTTGACCTCCAAGCTTGGTACTTGGATGATGGTACATTGATTGGAGACACCTTGGAAATTTCAAAGGCACTTCATATCTTTCACCAAGAGGGTAAAGCTAGGGGTCTAATCCTAAATGTTGAGAAGACTGAAATTTACTGGCCATTTACTGATCCGCGCAGGTTCCAGAATGGGGTTTTCCCAGACAATATTAGTAACCCTATTGCAGGTGTGATGCTGCTTGGAGCCCCTATTAGTAGGGATCCTGCCTTTTGTGAGAAAATGGTTCTTGGAAGAACCAAAAAAGCTCTGAATCTTATGAAGGCTGTAAGTGCAATTAAAGATCCCCAATGTGAATTACTTCTCTTGAGGAATTGTGTGGGTGTTTCTAAATTGTATTTTACTTTGAGAACTACCTGCCCAGAGTACATCTCACATGCTCAGTCCTTATTTGATGAACATCTTTATAAATTTTTGCATAATCTCATTCTTGGGGAAGGTGCTGGTTTTGGTCCACTGCAGTACAGATTAGTTACCTTGCCCGTACATGAAGGAGGGTTAGGCATTTATTGTTTGAAGGATACTATATTGTATTGCTATTTAGCCTCTTACTATCAGACTAATGGTTTACAAGATCAGATCCTTTGCAATACTTCAGTTTCTGATGTTTTTCTACCCTTGCAGCTTGCCCAGAATAATTTTATTCATGCCTGTGGTCTCTCTTCAACTCAAGCTAACATTGTTGTTGCCTCCCATCCTATGAAAACTCTGGCATCACAGTACTTTTCTTGTGTAGTTAAGAATATGGCATCCAATTATAATATGAGTTGCAGGGATTTAGCTCTCTGGAAAAGTAATAAAATGAAATATGATTTGGATTTTTTACTTGCTATTCCTGCTGAAGGGTTAGGGCAGACCCTTAGTCCCAGACAGATTACTGCTATTCTTGCATATAAGCTTGGCATTCCTCTTTTCCAAGTTGGTGCTTCTTGTTCATGTTGCTTGGGGTGATCATGCTCTTCATTGTTCTAGCCTGATTAGTCCAAAATCCAGGCATAATTTGGTTCGGGACAATGTGGTTGATATTTGCTTTCGGGCTGGTATATCTCATAGGATTGAAGCCCCTCTTAGTTTCCTTACACAACAGGGTGGTGGTGCTAAACCTGCTGATATACTCGTTTATGGTTGGGATGGTGGAGGGGATACTTGCTTGGATGTCACAGTTGTTTCTCCTTTTGCAGGTGATGTTGTTCTTGAGAATTTTAAACCCGGTTATGCCTTAGCTAAGGCTATTGAGAGGAAGCAACACAAATATGTTGATATATGTTGAGCTAATGGATACAATTTTGGCACTTTGGGCTTCACCACATTGGGGGAACTTGGACCGGATTCTGTTTTGTTTCTTAAACGTGTTAAGAATCATATAGCTAGACATGATTCCACCTTAAATGTTGGCAATTTTGTTTTCATTAGAATTGGTTTAGCTATTCAAAAAGGTGTTGGAGCTCAACTTGTTGCTAGGTTCCCCACTTGTTCCTTGTAATCCTTTACTTTTCTTATCCTAATAAAATGCCTTTTCAATAATAATAATAACAATGATAATAACAATAATAATAACAATAATAATAATAATAATAACAATAATAATAACAACAATAATAACAACAATAATAACAACAACAACAACAACAACAATAATAATAATAATAATAATAATAATAATAATAATAATAATAATAATAACAAATAATAATAATAATAATAATAATAATAATAATAATAATAATAGTAAAAATAATAGTAGTAATAATAATAATAGTAATAATAATAATAGTAATAATAATAATAATATAAGCATGAAAAGTGAAAGACTTTTTTGCTCTCGTGTTTCTCAGTTTACACGATTTATTTAGGAAAAGAGTTTAGCAAGACTTTAGCAGCCACGATGTTCTTTTGCAACAACACTATGGGGTCCTGCCCCTTTCCCTTTACATTATTTTTCTAAAGCAAAAAAAAAAAGTACTCAACTTTTACTCCTAATTATTTTTCTACTTGAAGCAAGAGAAAAGTACCGGGAACCCTTTTCCACTATTTTGCCATAATTTGGAAAAGCTCCTAAAATAAACTAACAATTTGGACTTAATACAATACCTTCGTTCTAAATAGATGCAATTATGTAACATGTTAAATTTTACATTATCCATATTCTTTATTTTGACTATAATTTATTTATTTATTTATGTATTAGAAATTTAATTTGTGAAAAGTACTATTCAATTCCTCTCATTTTAAAATTCGAAATCAGATTTGTTAACTTTGTTACTAATAAGTAATGAAATGTATTAATGGTCAAAATTGTGCATTGACAAGTGTGAAAATAAAAATGTTACAACTAAAAAAGAATGAAAGAAGTAATAAGTTAAATCAATACTAATTTCATAAGTTTTTTTTTGAAAGGTACTAATTCCATAAGTTAAACATGACCAAAAGATTATTAGTCATGAAAAATAAAAAATAAAAAGAAGGATTTGCAAAACATTCTTTTGTAGCCAATTCAGCTCAAGACATTAATTCATTCCGGCATTTTCAGCAAAAAAGAGTACATTTTATAGTTCTTACTGATTAAGCCCTCAAAAACTCACAATCAATAGACAAAATAAATATCAGCAATAAAGTAAATTATGCAAACAAATCACTATCAAGAGATTTAACAAACAACATATCGAGTCATTTTGATGTCTAATAAAAACTACACTTAATTTTTTTTATCAACCAATTCAGGTCTAGCAAGTAGCAAACAATGAAATCTAAATTCATGTGGTAGAATTATGATTAATAAGACAATGCTGCATGTATCTACTTGACCACTTGCCAAGTACCCATGTCTTGCATTCAAATGTCCCTATTACTTGTTGATATAAAGAAATACGAATTACGAAGTAGCATTCTTTTTTAATTGTGATACGTGACATATAATTTGAAACTCATGGTTTTTACTTTTTAGAACAAGATCCAAAGATTGAGTAGTAGTTGGGTTTGTTCCATGAACTTTTAAAACTAGTTTAGTCTAGATTCTAAATTGACCTTTTTAAATCTAAGGTCCGAAGTCCGAACAGAACAAATCCGGACGTCTCTGAAATCTGAATTGATCTCCTTTAATATGTACAGGCAGTACAGCTCTGGACCTCTGGTTAGATCTTGTATGTAACTTAAAATATTCACTAAAATCGCTGAATATACGAGACTTTTTAAAAGTAGAAAAAAAATGGTAAAATCCATTTCAACCAAACAAGTCAAAAGCTTACTTATTATATTGGTGATGAGCAGGGTCAAACTAAGCTACCAAAGGGATCCGAAATTCCAACCTATGAAGTGCTCATGAAATCTATTTACTGATAAGCACCATATAGTCCAGATTTGAGAAAGCATTGTTCAATATAGATTACATTTGGGTGATAATTACGTGCATTTTTGTTGAAACAATCACATCAAGAAAAGGAAATGCTTAACAAAAGAACTCAAGGCCTCAAGGGTTGAGATCGAATCTGAACGGCCGATCACTAAACCTGCCAGCCCATCATGAACCGGAGGCATTGAGGTTTGCAAAGAGCTCAGGAAGGTGGGCATTTGTGAGCTTCGTCCTCTTGCTAATCTCATGCTTCTTCTTCTTGGTTTTGGGCTTTGAGGAAATGCCGTGAACTTGGGCCATATCCCTCCTCTTGGCAGTATTCGTAGCAGGTTTCATGCCGTTCTTCTGCAGCTCTTTTTCTATGTCAAGCATGTCACGTGGCAATTCAATTCCTCTGTACAGCTGTTTCAGATCGTCATCTACCTTAATACGCACATCCGCTTTATTAGGGTGTACAATGTCTTCCTGAGAGTCAGAGTTTGACAGCAGCCAAACCTGACCTTCAGCCTTCAGAGACTACACAGAGACAAACACACAAGGGGGATGAAACTCCAGCATACTTACTGCCTACTGCTACAAAGAAAAAGAAAAATAAGTTATCTATTTGAAAATCTTTTTCTGATTGTTAACTACAACGATTCGAATGGCCTAGCTAGAATTTTCTATGATTTCTTTAGTTGAGATGTACGGAGTATAATAATAATAAAAAAATAACAATAATAAGATTAATGATGATGACAATGATGATCATAATAATAGTTGTAGTAGTAGTAGTAGTAGTAGTAGTAGAAGAAGAAGAAGAAGAAGAAGAAGAAGAAGAGACATGCAACAATGTCCATTGTACAATTTGTGGGCAGTGATAATCAAGGCATGAAGGAATATCTGTCAAATGTCTCAATAAATGCCATGCATTCTTTTGTATACACTGTACGGCAATAACAACATCACCCGAGCCTTGGTCCCAAAAGTATACACTACAGACATTTCATTTTAAATTAAGAAAAAAAACTCCCTAAATACATGCACTATTACAGAGCATACCTGCAGGTCCTCCATCACAGTTGGGTATGCATCCTTGAGATCAATGATAGCAATACCCTCATCAAATTTCCGTATCAAACGAATTAACTGATCTTTATTTTTCACGTCATGCTTGGACTGGAATAAAAAAAAATTATCACAGTGGGAAAATCTGCAAGGCGACATTCTAAGGAAGGGAATAATATGAACACGGGGGATTTGTGAACTTTGCAACTGAAAAGGTTGAATCACTACCTTATAAGAGAATTGTTTGCCATCATAGTGGACTTTAGGGTTGTGTCTCAAACTGTCAAACACAGCCTTGTTGGCATTCATATCAACATGGCATTCTCTATTTATTTGCTCTATTGTATAAGCTTTCCTAGTCTGTAGACATTAAAACGAAACAAAATTAGGATATCTCTCCCAGAAGAGGAGGTATATACATATTTTAAATTTTTAATACATGGGAGGAGCACATAAATGAGTACTATATCCACTGGGATCCCACAAAGAGCATAACGGTCCACTTATCAGCTCTCAAACAATATACATAGTACGATAGTAAATTTTTTACAGAAAATTATGAGAATGTCAAAGTACTTGGCTTGGTGAAATGATGGGTTCTACCATTAGCTAATAAATATCGTAAAAGCTAAAGATGTCATGTTTTAGTGCACTTAGGAACACACGGTCATTCATGGGCAGATCTTTGTAAGGGCTAAAGCCTGGACAACTTTTTAAATATACATTTTAAATTTTTACATTCTTTCAAGTTTCAACTTTAGATGATTTGTTATATTAATAAACCCACCTCATTTTTTTAAAATTAACGCACCTCACATACATAGTTGTATTGTTTCACTTTTTCTTCACATTTCATCATTTTGAAATCAAAATTTCACTCTTCAAAAAAAAAAAGAAATCAAAATTTCACTAAATATTATATATATATACTATCGTGTGTGTGTGTGTGTATATATATATATATATATATATATATATATATATATATATATATATTACCATATTTTTAATTAAAACAAAAGTCAAATTTAAAAAAGGGGTATAATTTTCACATATTTCTGTAAAATAATAAATTATTAACACTATTGTGCGGAACCATTGATAACTTTTTTGTTGACTTCCTGAGTTTTTCCCTTCTCTTACACTCCGTTGAGAGTTAAAAAGATTTAAAAGCAAAGCCTCTGCACAAAACCTATGTACTCTTGGTAAGCATGTCAAACAACTTAAACCCAAGATCAGAGGGCCATAAGAAGGCACTGGATGTCATTGAAAGAAAAAGAAAACAGAGT